TTGAGAATTGGTAGGATTTCCAAAATATGTTAAAATAATAATATGTAGGTTCAACATTAATTTGTCAGGAACTTCCAATGAATAATCAATATTAATGACCAGACGAACTATGGAAACCAAAGTGCGAGCACCCACGTCACAATGCTCAATAGTGCGCATGATGATGATGATGATGATGATGATGATGATGATGATGATGATGATGATGACGACGATAGAAATAGTGATTTTATGGGAGGTTATTTTTATATCTGGAGGAATTGGCAATACAACTGCAGGACACTGTCTCATCCTCAGCACTGGCAGGTCAACATGGGTCGCAGGTTTAGATCTCTCAAGTTGTGGTTCGTTCTGCGTATGTACGGAGTCAAGGGTCTACAGGAACGGATCAGACAGGTATTTGCGAAGAGCTTGGTGATAGTTTGTACAAGGTAGTTGATGTTTTGCGATCTTACCCATAAAGGTTAGATCATTTTGAGGCTGTCCCTGTCGTTTTACGCAAGAAAAATTTTGAAATTATACAAACTGAGTCCAAAAATGTGAAATTATGCCATTCTGTTAATTTTAACAAAGAATGATAAAGGAAAATAATCAGAAATTATGCCCAAAATGATCAAATTTTGTTAAATTATGCGGGGTGCATAATATAACAACGGGGACAGTTTCGAGGTCAGGCTACCTCCACCGTGCCTATCATCAATTCCGCCCCGACTGAGTGTCAAATGGAGTATCTGGGTACATGTATACCGTTGGAGACACTTGATAATTTTGTTAATAACTGTTGCTTTCTCCAGCAAGAACCGATCTCATGACCAAAAATGCCCTGCTAGCAGTTCCCCTTGTTGTTTTCATTGGGTGGCGTGCTTGCTGACTTTCAAGCGATGTGTCCTCCCCTGTCTTTTCTTTCTTTTGTTCTGCCTCTGCACCCCCACCCACTCCGTTCGTCTGTCTGTCTGTCTCTCTCTCTCTGTCTCCCTTGCCTCCTCCTCTTCTTCTTCTTCTTCTTCTTCTTCTTCTTCTTCTTCTTCTTCTTCTTCTTC